TTTTTTAAAATTTATTAATTAAAATTTGCATGATATTTTTAGAAGTAAGTATTATATATATTATAAAAAGGACTAAATTCAATTTTATATATATTTTAGATAAAAATAGTTTAATATATGTAAAAGATATATATTTTTGATATATTTAATGCGTTCGGATCCGGATCCTCTTTTCACGGATTCTAGATTTTACTATCTTTATCCGGATCTGGACTCAACGAATATCCTAATTTTTGGAGCGGATCCGAAAGGATACCGGATCGGATTTCGGACGTCGGATAATAATTCCACTCCTATGAGTTGGAATGATCGAGCTGAGCTGGCACGTATATGGGACCCACATTTGAACAATTGGGCTGTCACGGCCCAACCTAATATCGTCGTCTACGAAGAATCCAACGACATAGACGGTGCCACGTGTAGAAGGTTTTAGCGGTTTAGATTGAAAACACGTCATCAAAATCTAGAGCAAACCACCTGTCTAGGCTGGCGTCAAGATCCTACGGAGCTTACGCTTTCTCAGTCACGTGCAACGGCCTCGTTCGACACGTGCGATGGTCAATATGATTTGAACTCTTGAAATTTGGAGATTTTGCTATAATACGGGGCCTTGCTAATTCTTTTATTTTTGTCTTCTTTACATCATCATCATAAATATATATTTAATATAATACATTTTTTTTAAACTACCATTTGTAATACAAATTAGGAAACAAAAACATTTTTTAAACTACCATTTGTTTTTTTAAACTACCATTTTTTAAACATTTTTTTAACTACCATTTTTTACACTACCATTTTTTAAACTACCATTTTTTAAATTACCATTTTTTAAACTACCATTTTTTTTTAAACTACCATTTGTTTTTTTAAACTACCAAAAATTAGGAAAGGTGGAAACAAATTAGAAAGAGAAAGGACAAACAGATGGATGACCGGATAAGTCAGGTAGCCGTCCGCCGACCTATTACGTACGCATCACAAATCAAATACTCACAAGTCATTTCTTCCCAATTCCAAAAATGTTACAAGATTTATATTTCATTGGCCAAACATAAATATAAATAATTTAATGATTTTATAATACCTAACTCAATTTCAGTTGCATCAATCTTCTATTCTCAATGCCAGCCATGTAATTTTATAGAACAAATCTTTTAAATAACCTAAATGTCAAAAACAAAGAAGAGCTATTAGGTAAACAAGTTATTACACGTTAGGTTAATGATACAAACTTTATAGTGACAAAACAAAAACTTATTTTGGTCTAATGAGACGAGAAATTTCAGTCTATAATTCTGTGCTTCTATAATTACTTTTAAAAATAAAACCCGCTGAAAATAAAATGTGTTATCAGTTAGAGACAATTAGGTAGATAATCACTATAACTTTTTGTTTATTTTAAAAAATCCGTCATTCGAAATTGATACAATGAAAACAAACATTAAAAAACAAAAAATATTTTTTTCAGAGGGATAAAAAAGTGTTTTCGACCGGTAGTTTCGACTATAGTTAAAAATTGGTATACTTTTTGTGTAACCATGAGTTGTAACTGTTGTGTACTTTTTACATTCAAACTTGGTTACTGGCCAATGAAAACCTTGAAAAGCTAAATATATAACTATTAATTACTATTATGTAAATTGAGAATTTTATATCAATCCATTTACAATTTACATTATACCATATTTATGACGTCTGTAACGTATGGAACTATAAAGCATGGGATTGTTAGAGAGAGAAGCTGATATATTGATGTAACAATATATATTTGCTTTGTTCTGTTTGAGAATCAAAGCTCATTCCTCAATAAGCCTTACACAGAGGTCTTGTCACTCAAAATTTTACCAAACTCATCCGAATTCTTACCATTAATCAAATTAATCAATTAGATTAAATCTTGTGCTTTATTGCGTGCGGATGTAATTCAAAGTAAATATTTTGTTTCCGTCGTTAAATTCGGTATCAAATAACGAAAAAAAATGTGTAATTGATGTTCATTGAATATAAAAAAAAGTTCCATTTTCCTGGTTTATCTGAGTAATTTTTAAAATGGAGAGATCACGTTGGACTTGAAATTCCAATATTTTCCAAAAATTGATTATACAATCTATTGGACTTACGTATAAATGGATTTTAAAATTGTTAGAAACTACGAATACGTCTCTTTGTCGTGTAAGCTTGAAAGAGAAAGCCCATGCTCTTAAATTTGTAGTCGTTTCTTTCGTACTTTTGTGCTTCATAAATTTTTCGATATACAAAAAGTTTTTTTTTTAATTAAAAGAAAGAATATAAAACCGGAAAGGAATGCTTTATTATCAGATTGAACAGGCATACGTCTTCATCGTTGGCAGAAACGGAACACA